TTTCTCACTAGTTTGTTCTATATTGGGGCCTAATTCTTCTGAAAATTTGTTGAGAATTCAATTGTATTTAAATCTTTGAGTTTATTTTCTGCCTAGGTCAGAAAAAAAGTCTTATTGGTTTATAAAAGTAAGTTATATTTTATTAATATGTGTACCATAATGCATATTTTTTAAAAATTAGCAGCCTCACTAGGAAAAATTTTTTAAGTTGTCTTTGTCAAATTATTCACCCACCTTTAAAGTTAGCAGTTAAGGCTTTTCACACAGATTATTAATTCTGCAAAACATTTTTAGCAGTAGTTCCATAGGATTTATAACTAGAATTCAAAGACTATCTTGTTCATCCCGATTGCTGACTGTTTAATCTGTATTTGTATTATGTTCTAATATTTCTGTGATCTGATTTTACTCAGTTTTTTTAAACTTTATTGTACTGAGCTAAAGGTTTATCTTTAAATAGATATGTTTATTTATATTAATGCATTTATCTACTAGTTATTATCCTTATATTAAAAACTTTTTCTCAAATTTGCACTGAATACAAATTATTCAGCATTAATTGCTTGCTTTGTTCCATTGTACAGTATATTGAGATGAAAATAACACAGTCTTAAAGTCACCGGGAACTGAATACAGTGGGACCTACTTCTGAGCTAAAAATATTTATTGCACTCTTGTATGGAAAGAATTCGTTTGAAGAAAAGACCAATATGTTGGTAGACACAATTTTAAGGTGTGACTGAATTTTTCTACAGGGAAAAAACAAGAATAGCTTTCCGCAGAAACCAGCGGAATTTAATCAATCCTACCAAATGCTTCTTCTGTGATATATATATATAGTGTAGCACTATCTTAATGTTAATAATTTTGCTTTAATTAGGTCCATGGAAGAAATTTGCTGTCGATTGATTATGATCGGAACATTCGTACAGAGAAAATATACGATGATCACCGGAAGTTTACACTTCGTATTATTTACGATCAGCTTGGACGCCCTTTTCTCTGGCTACCCAGCAGTGGACTTGCTGCTGTGAATGTCTCTTATTTTTCAAATGGACGATTGGCTGGGCTTCAGCGTGGTGCCATGAGTGAAAGAACAGAGATTGACAAACAAGGCAGGATTATTGCTCGCATGTTTGCTGATGGAAAAGTGTGGAGTTATACATACTTAGAAAAAGTAGGTAATTGTTGGTATGACCTACAGTCCTGCATTAACTGAAGTTTGGGATTTACTGACGCCGGCATACATATCTATACATCAAACAATCCAAAAATCATAATTGAGGTGCCTTTGTAATTTTAAGAACTTAAGCAGAGTATTCATTCCTAAATGCTAGATATAAGCTAATGCTAGCACAGACAACTACTGATCAATGCGCTGTACCTTCAATCTTAGGACTAAACTTAAATAATTTGTGCCCATCCTATTTTTGAATTATTTGCTTCTCCTTTTTGCCTAGTTCTGAAGAACTCAGCTGCACATTCTTTTGATTGGTTTGTGGGTAAAAAAAAAAAAGATTGTTTGAGTATGAATTCTTTTAGATAGACATGCAGACTGATTAATCCAATGGAGTTTAACATTTAATGAATATGTTTAAAACTGTAACTTTTAATATCTCTGCAATGTTATGAAATAGACAACATCAAATAATTATATAAGCTAAAATACTCCTTGGAATACAAATCCTTTGATTCTGGTTTAAAATGAAGTGAGGTCAGTTCTTACAAGAAGCAGCTTCTTTTTAAGAACTGGAAGAAATCCCATTTTAAGAATCGTTTGCCACAAAATCAGATTTTTTTGAGCCAACAGGCAGTGAGTAACCCTTACTTATGAGCTTTGCTAATTAAATTTCAGTGAGGTAACTCATTGTGTGATCAAACTTTTCAGGTTCTATGTGTGCCTTTGCAATGAATTGCAAGTCTTTTTATGGTAAAAAAAATCACAGTAAATCCAACACACTCTTACAGGTGTGCTTAATATTGTGGCATTCTTTAGTGTAATATCAGCATAGTGTACAACATAGTATAGTGCCTGCATACAATTATCCTAGCAAGCAAACCAATTAGTGAAAATGAAGTCAATATGGAGTTTAACATTTCTTTATAAGCTAGTGGTATAGAAGAGAAGATGATGCACTATTATTTATTTTATAGTTGTGAATCAATTTTTGGGGGTTGCCCTCCCAAATTAATTAATAGCCATATACATTAAAATGTTTATAGCAGCAATAGCTGTAATTGTCATGTATAAGAAGGAATCCTTAATGATTTGTGTTGTATTGTGATACCCGTCTTATATATTTTTGATTTAAAAAAACCCATAAAATATGATTTTGTTTTTTCAATAGTCTATGGTGCTACTCCTTCAAAGTCAGCGGCAGTACATCTTTGAATATGACTCTTCAGATCGGCTGCATGCTGTCACTATGCCAAGTATAGCTCGACACAGCATGAGCACTCACACCTCAATCGGCTATATTCGAAATATTTATAACCCACCTGAAAGTAATGCTTCAGTGATTTTTGATTACAGCGATGATGGAAGGATTTTGAAAACATCTTTTTTAGGAACTGGTCGGCAAGTTTTCTACAAATACGGGAAGTTATCCAAGTTGTCGGAGATTGTGTATGACTGCACAGCAGTGACTTTTGGATATGATGAAACTACTGGAGTTCTGAAGATGGTCAACCTACAGAGTGGGGGCTTTTCTTGCACCATCCGCTATCGTAAAATTGGCCCTCTGGTTGACAAACAGATTTACAGATTCTCTGAAGAAGGTATGGTCAATGCTAGGTTTGATTATACCTATCATGATAATAGTTTTCGAATAGCTAGCATCAAGCCTATAATAAGTGAGATCCCTCTTCCAGTTGACCTCTATCGTTATGATGAAATCTCAGGCAAAGTAGAGCACTTTGGCAAATTTGGGGTAATCTATTATGATATAAATCAAATAATCACTACGGCTGTAATGACACTGAGCAAACATTTTGATACACACGGACGGATTAAAGAAGTTCAGTATGAAATGTTCCGATCACTCATGTATTGGATGACAGTGCAATATGACAGCATGGGAAGGGTAACTAAGAGAGAATTAAAGCTTGGGCCTTATGCCAATACAACTAAATATACATATGATTATGATGGAGACGGGCAGCTCCAGAGTGTGGCAGTCAATGACAGACCAAACTGGCGTTACAGTTATGATCTAAATGGCAACTTGCATCTCTTGAATCCTGGGAACAGTATCCGATTGATGCCACTGCGCTATGATCTAAGAGATAGAATTACACGACTAGGTGATATGCAGTATAAAATTGATGATGATGGTTTTCTGTGTCAAAGAGGTTCTGACATATTTGAGTACAATTCCAAGGGCCTCTTAACAAGAGCTTATAATAAAGCAAATGGATGGAGTGTTCAATACCGTTACGATGGATTAGGAAGACGAGCTTCTTACAAAACTAACTTGGGACATCACCTTCAATATTTTTATGCTGACCTTCACAACCCAACTAGGATAACACACGTGTATAACCACTCAAATTCAGAAATTACCTCTCTGTACTATGATCTGCAAGGTCATCTTTTTGCAATGGAAAGCAGCAATGGAGAAGAATATTATGTTGCCTCGGATAATACGGGTACACCACTGGCAGTTTTCAGTATCAACGGTCTAATGATCAAGCAACTGCAGTACACAGCCTATGGGGAGATCTATCATGATTCTAATCCTGACTTCCAAATAGTCATTGGATTTCATGGAGGGCTATATGATCCCTTAACAAAACTGGTCCATTTTACTCAAAGAGATTATGATGTTTTGGCTGGACGTTGGACCTCTCCTGATTATACAATGTGGAACAATGTTGGTAAGGAACCTGCCCCATTCAACTTGTATATGTTCAAGAGCAACAATCCTCTCAGCAATGAACTGGATTTAAAGAACTATGTGACAGGTGAGAAATAATTAATAGTCTGGAAATCTAAGGAACGTTGTAAAAAAGATGTAAGAATGCTATTTTGCTCTTAGGAAACTCATTTAATATCAAGTACAGACTCAAAATTCTTCATTTTGAGCAGATTTGGAAGAAGATTGCACTGTTTAATAAACCAACTCCTTTGTTTTTGAACAATGATAATGTAATCCTGCATTTGGTTCTGTGGGTTTAAGATCAGCTAAAAACAGTTGGACTTAAGCACACATGATTATATGTATTTTTTTTAAAAAAAGTAATACACAAGTATTAGATACGCATCAAGATATTCCCATGTAATCAGGTAGAATTACATGGGATTATCTTCTGGATTGAGCAGAAGAATCACATTTCATGTATGTGAATTAACCTTAGCAACGTAAAATGCTAAAAGTTAGGAGGTTTTATAAACATACTTTGCACCAATTTGCACATGCAATCCTGTTGCTTCTTCTGTTATGTACAGCCATTTAATTCAGGGGGATTTAGCAATGCTTTGAGATAAATTATATTGTAAGGAGTTAGCATATGGTTCAATGTTTGTCAGCCAGTGGTTTGTATACCATTAGTGATAGGTTGCAGTGTTCTGGGTAGGAGTTGATTTGCCCAACTTCCCCAACTGAGAAAGAAGAGAGCAGGGAAAGTGGTCAGAGCTGACAGCTTTTATTGAAGGTGCAAAAACAAAAGGAAATTCTAAACTCTGGGTTAAGCTCAAAGATTTGAATTCAATAACAAAAATAAAATGAAATGATGTGTTTTTCTCTATTATTTGGAAACATTTTTTGGTTTGGATTTAGACTCTGAAAATAACTGTGGGTAATTTCCAGTTTAGTTTTTAATCAAAATCAAAATCAAATCTCTATACCCAGGTCACAGCAAGCAAGCATACTATTCAGTTCAGCTAGCAAAAGTATAGCTTGATATTTATTTGTTAAATATTAGTAAACATCAAAATCATTTACTGGCAAAACAGAATAAAAGGCAGGCGTAGCAGGAACAGAAAGATGAACAATGGGTAAGAGGGGAAAAAAGGGCAAAGGACTTAATATCAACCATCTATATTATCTATATTTCTATTAAAAGGCACAAAACTTTCCAGGGCCGCTGGAAACAATACTGGTAATAAGCATGGAGAGTCTCAAAGGAAACGGCCTTTGTTCATTTCAGCCGTAGCCCCTTTTTATGTACATAGAAGCAGAATAAAGTAAGACACCAATTGAAGTCTCCTTTATTCTGCACTATGAAGAAAAGAATTTGGTTGGACAAAGATGATGTATCCAACAACAGGAACACTTTCCCCATTTCAATGGTCTTCAAATTAGCATAACTGATAAATAATGTATGTTTACAGAAGTCCTGTAAACAGATATGCCCTCTCAGGGGGGGGGAATGAGTTTTTATGCTACCATGTTGATAAGGTTCCAAGTCCCTGTTAGGGTGGTTGTTGGGACTTTATTTGCAAATAAAATGATGGAAGAAAGAGAAACTAAGTAGTGACTATAATGAAAATGAAATTTATCCACATCCTAAAGCAGATCAGGGATCAAATCAAGCTGGTAAGAATCTGTATTGGTAGAGTAAAGTGCCTTTGGTCTGAACTGAAACTCACTCAAGGCTACTATAGCTATTGCATAGTCCAGAGACTAGTAATGCTTTTAGGTATGGACATTTCCCTACCCAAAAACTGATTCACAGAATAACAGAGTTGGGAGGGAGAAGCAGGACACCCTATATCATGTCAGACACATGGTTGTTCAATCGCTTCTTAAAAATCTCCAGTGTTGGAGCACCACAGGCAAGTCCTTCCACTGATTAATTGTTCTAACTTTCAGAAAATTTCTCCTTAGCTCTAGGTTGCTTCTCTCCTTGGTTAGTTTCCATCCATTGCTTCTTGTCTTGCCTTCAGGTGCTTTGGAAAATAGCTTGACTCCCTCTTCTTTGTGGCAACCCCTGAGATATTGGAACAATGCTATCACGTCACCTCTAGTCCTTCTCTTCATTAAACTAGACATATCCAATTCTTGCGACTCTTCTTCATAAATTTTAACCTCCAGTCCCCCAATCATAGTTAAACAAATTTAAAATGGGCTATTTTTTTTTTTACAAGCTCACATCTGAGATCTCACATATTTGCAAGAGTGAATAATTTATTGAAATAGTTTCCATGATATTTATTTATAAATAGATAATACACTTTTATTTTAATTTGAGTACATATGGACACTAATTTCCCAATGCCAGCTGTCATGCCAAAATGGGGAAGGCTTTCTTAAAATTTAAAATAATGTTTCCTCCCACATGTCATGTAAATATTCTACTCTGTTGGTATTAATTTGCCACTTAGTGCTAAGTTATTTAGGAGTGCTTCCAAAGAAAAGAAATTAACAGCTATTCAATAAAACTTTTTTCAGAACAGAATGTGGTACATGTCATAATTTTTTTGAAGAAAAAGAAGTATTCCCATTCTACTGTAATTTACAAAAACTTTAAATATTAGGCAAAATGAATTATATTTCAAAAAAGTTAAAACATAAATTATCAGAGTTGGGGAAATCTTTAATATGAATTGTATCCTCCATGGTGTCTAGGATATTGTCTTCTAAGAGAGTACATATACATATATGTATACATATACATATACATACATGCATACACACACACACACACACACTTATATATCCCAAAAATCTTGAGTCAAATTCTACCAGCCTATGATGAGGCAGCTGCAACCGAAGCATTGTGTGAAAATGGAATGAAAAAGATTAAGAAATCTGTCCAACAAATGTTTTTTGGTGCTTCCCCAAAGAAGAACAAGCTATACTTAACATCCATTTTGGCCATCCTGGCTGAAAATTATGGAAACTATCCAACACATCTAGAGGGAATCAGGCTGGGATAGTTAGTTGGTCAACATGTTTTCTTAACTAATACTTCTTATAGCTTTCCATAAAACTACTGTTTCCTTGACCCCAAATTATTAATCTGGCCTTATTGCTTTTTCTTCTCCTTTTGCCATGGCCTTCCATACCCAACCCATGGTGACATCTGACACCCTTTTGCCAAGAAAGGAAACTCTTCCTTTCCTTATGCAAAGCAGAACATGAATCCTGAAAAAGGCTCTGCTGTTCTCCTTCCTTCCTTTTATTTCCTATTAGAATAGCTGAAATTGAAAAAAAAAATGAAATACAGACAGTCCTCGACTTACGGCAGTTTGTTTAGTGACCAAAGTTACAACAGCACTGAAAAAGGGACTTATGACCGTTTTTCACCCTATGATTTTTGCAGCATCACCAAAGTCACATGATCAAAATTCAGACGCTTGGCAACTGACTCATATTTATGACGGCTGCAGTGTCCCAGGGTCATGTGGTCCCCTTTTGTGACCTTCTGACAAGCAAAGTCAATGGGGAAGCCAGATTCACTTAACAACCACGTTACTAGCTTAATAACTGCAGTGATTCACTTAACAACTGTGGCAATAATGGTTGTAAAATAGGGCAAATCTCAGTTAACAAATATTTCACTTAGCAACATAAATTTTGGGCTCAATTGTGGTCGTAAGTCAAGGTCTACATGTACTGTACCATAGATACTAGAATGCAATAAATAATGTTTTACATATTTATTGATGGGGGCGATAGCCATAGCATACTTTTTCTTTCCTTTGTGATGATTTTCTATTTAAAAAGCATGCTAAGCATTTTACTTGCCAAAACTCAGAAAAGCTTCTCTGATCAATGCTCTGCTTCTTTGTAGCAATGACGCAATATCTACCGTTTTACTTTTTGGAACACTTTTATCATCCCAATTGTCAAGAAAAATGCTTCATATCCCATCCTGGCTTTATAAGTAAGCCCGGACTCAATTTTACTACTGCTTACTAGCCATCTTCACCTTTCATAAATGTGCTTATTTAATTCTTAGATGTGAAAAGCTGGCTAGTGATGTTTGGCTTTCAACTCAGCAACATTATACCCGGCTTCCCAAGAGCAAAAATGTACTTCGTCCCACCTCCTTATGAACTGTCGGAATCGCAGGCCTGTGAACGTGGTCAGGTAAGCAGCGGCTTTCTGCAGCTACACAGTTTTCTTTACCATTACATTTTGGGGTTGCAATCTAGGGGTGCTTTGCAAATGTCATAGGCATTTTTAATTTTTGTAGAATTTAAAGACCTTTCAAGATATGATAACAAACCCGTCTTGTATCCATTCCTTAAAATCAGGAGAATGGGAAGAATGCACTGATCATGCCAATGCTTTTTGTGAAAGGGATATTTGAATGCTTCGCCTGGCCCTGTTGTTTTGTAAAGTTAACAATAACAAGCACAGCTGATATATGAGTAAAACTAGTGAAACATAGATGGATAGGATTGAATCAGCTGGATAGTTTTNCAATAAAAAACAATTAAACATAAGTAAACACAATAGGAATTATAAGCCCCCCACCCCCACCCCGACTTCCCAAACCAAATCCCAGGATAATATTCATATAAAAGTAAACATATACTAATATCTCTAACTCCGCAATATATCTTAATACACAAGAAAATAAAAAAAGTAAACAAAATCATAATAAAGAAAAGTCTAAAAAACCTAAATTCTATTCTACCACATTATACTTCCACAGTTAAAATACAAAAAATCTAGAAACCTAAATTATATTCTACCACACCATGTTTCTTCTGAATATAAACAATCCATCTTCTCCATATTGATAAAAATTGTTCATTCGAGTGGCTCTTCAAAAAAGCCGAAATCTTTGCCATTTCAGCAAGATAGGAAACTTTCAATCTCCAGTCTCCCATTGTAGGCAAAATTGGACTCTTCCAATTCTGGGCTATCAACAAACGAGCAGCAGTTAAACAATAAAGCATCAGATTTGTTTCTTTTACATCTAGGTCTTGCACAATACCTAGAAGGAACAACTGTGGGAGAAATATAATCCTTTTTTTAAAAATTTGCTGTAAGTTCCACCACAGTTGTATCCAAAAAGCCTTGATAACCCTACAAGTCCACCACATATGAAAAAAAGTTGCATCTGGATGTCCACATCTCCAACACGATTCAAGTCTCTTTGCCATTCTTTCAAGTTAAGTTCATTTTTAAGAATAGGTATCATCTGAAATAAAAAAAGAAACTTAGGCAGGATATTCATTTTAATGGCAGCTATACGACCCAGCAGGGAGAGCTGTAGTTTTTTCCACATTAATAAGTCCTTTTGTACCATTTTCCACAATCTTTCATAATTATTCTGGTACAGTTTCGCATTAGAAGATGACACAAAAATTCCCAAATATTTAACTTTATTAACCACTTCAAATCCTGACATTTGCGTAAGTTGATCTTTATCTCTTGCAATCATATTCTTTGTAAGAATTTTAGTCTTATTCACATTAATTTTGAA